AACTTCTTTTCGAAAACATTTTCATCTGGTTCTAACTTTTTACAACCAAATCACGATGGTCTAGATATGGAGAAAGTGTCTAAACGAACCAATTCTGAACAAACAAGTTTAGCTCCTTAGCGACGGCTGTAGAAGACATGTAAGGCGAAATCAAGATTCCTTGGAATATAATAAGATGATTTTCAATGTGGTTTTTACATCAACTTTATGTTCAGTGACTACTATTAGGTGAGCTAAAACAGGTCTACGAATAGACCTTTCTTTCTCTTTTGCTTAACAATGCAGAACGGTGTTCAGAAATCCGATGATAAAAATGCTTAATTGTACTCTGAATGTAACTGGTTGTTTAGAATCAGTTAAACATGTAGGAGGTGAAATAAATTAGTTTCTTTTGAACACATTTTACAAACTGACAAGTTTGTTCAAAAGAAACTAATTTATTTCACCTCCTACATGTTTAACTGATTCTAAACAACCAGTTACATTCAGAGTACAATTAAGCATTTTTATCATCGGATTTCTGAACATCGTTCTGCATAGTTAAGCAAAAGAGAAAAAAAGGTCCATTCGTAGACCTGTTTTAGCTCACCTTATAGTAGTCACTGAACATAAAGTTAATGTAAAAAAATGAGAAGTCGTGGTCATTCCATGACTTGCCATCGTGGGATGAAGAATTTTCGTGCTAGATTAGCATCGGTTGGTGCGTCACGACTCCTTGGTTGGCGTCCACGAGATAGCTCGAATCGATGGCTCGAAACGTTATCAGATATGGCCAAGAATCGTAATCAATGGCAAACTTGTTGCGATTTCCTTCTTTCTTCCCTTTCCGATGATAGTTAACGAATACTGTTTGAACTTGTTAAGCACGACTGTTTTCCTTCCAGATGAAGCTCTTTATCCGTTCTCTACTTATATTTTTTTAAACTTTTGATCTATGTTGTTTTATTATTATTATTGTGTGGCGCATCTTTCTTGGTGCCATATTGTAACATGTTTTTTCTGCGTTTGAATAAATAAACTGACAACTATAAAATAGCATAATTAAAGGAAAAATTCACCGGCTGAAGTTTTCCTGTAAACTTTAAAGATCTTGTCAGTAATTAAAACTTACATTGTTAATCACTTGTGAGTTATCTGATTCACATAAAAACTAGTGTATGTCGGTGGTACGAAGCTTTTCAACCACACCTCATATGGTTCGGGGTTCGATCCCCGGCCACAAACGCATACATTTACCTCGTTAAGTCAGTAGTAAAACTAGTAAAGAGGGAAGGTTGGGCATGGGCTAGCAACCCCTCCCTCCCGCGTGAAAATAAACACCACTGTGACCGAAACTTTAAGCCTCTAACTTGAAGTAGCCCTATGTTCCACTGGGAGTGTGAAGAAATTAAAAAATATTAATAAACTTGTGTACAATATCTGCTGTACTGATAGTACGTATTTCCTTAAGGTAGAGAAGAATTGCTCTGAAAAGTCTGAGAAGGTATGAAACCTTGGTAGGTGACTTTTGTCAAAATCTATTACAGTAATGTAGTACAATCCAAGACAGTGTAGTATCAGTGTTGCTAAGATTAATGACTATGTCTCACATATGGTCGGTAGATTCCAACCTACACAAAGAACGAACTTCTCGATTATACTACACTCTGTAAATTTCAATATCCCTCATAATTCATTCAAAAGAATAATAATTACAGAGAACAATTTTAGTTCCGATTCCATCCTCTTCGATATTCTCCCTCATTTACTTTGAGACATGATCTGCATTACTCTAACAGCAAACTGAAATTGTTTGCGATTTCATATATAATGATCCCAACAAAAAAATAATTAGATGATTATAAAGTCATAAGAAATGAAAAAGAGTTTATGATTCTTGCGAGTTGATCATGGACTGATATTAGTTAGAGAACTACTAACAATCAGGGAGTACTACAAGACAGTTGTTTCAACAGCCTAGTTTGGGAATCATCAGCAGAACACACCCACCACAGAAGGTTCGAACCTAGAACCTTCCGGTCACAAGGCAAGTTGGCTCGTATACCATTCCTCCACTGGGACGTGACTCCTCAATGGCCAGTCCATGGATTCTAACTTCCACCAATTAGTGATTTAGCGTGACCGCCAATCAATGTCATCGGTGAGACATCCATCCTCACACTTAATTAGATGAACTGTCCTGTACTCCCTGATATTATTCCGTAATCAACTCGTAAAGCAAACAAAACTAATCCTTACAAACCAACTATAGAAGAAAGAAAAATTTTTTTCCTTCACGTTCCCAGTGGAACATAGAGCTCCAAGCTAGTGGCTTGAAGTTTCTGTAGCAGTGTTTAATTTTTACAGGATGGGGTTGCTAGCCTCATTCTCAACCTTTCCTCTTTACCAGCATTATTTCTGGCTCAGTTAGGTAAAGGAGTGCGTCGGCCGGGGATCGAACCCCGGACCATGTGCATGGTCGGCGGGCGTCCTAACCGCTATACCACCGACGCATAGAATAAAGGGTTTATGAATTATACTGGATGAAAGTTTAGACAGGCCAGTGATTTAAACAAGCCACCTTATCATAGCTTGTCGGTGAGTTTCAACTGTCATTTAAACCAACATAAGATATAGAGGTAATAAGAACATAAAATGAAATGAAACGCACTAATTACCTGATGTGTTTGTGTATATATAGTCAACAAAAAAGTGCACGTTTTAAAGGTGAATCTATTAAGTGCTGGGAGAATACTATAGAGAAATACACCAACATGTGGGATGGACTACACGTAAGTTCAAGCGTGACAAATAATAATAATCGCGATGAAATATGAACGATCGTGTGAAGAAACTGATGACGTGGCATGGAAAGACATGAAGTTGAAAAAAGTTTGGAATAAAAGTTTGTCTGTGAAACAAACGGAAGAAAATGGAGTAGAGGACTAAATTATTGATCTTTATGAAGTATTTGTTGACCTTCTTGTAGGCGAAGGTAAACAAAAAGAGTTGGACATACTTCTTCTGTATACAGAGATCAAGTCTGCTGATCATAGAAAACAAAGTCGAGCTCCTTTAGATAGAGAACGCCTGTTCCATTTTTATTGAATGTTCAGTATCTGCACTATTTACGTACGCGTTTGATTCTCCCTTTACTCAACCATACAGATATACGTTCATGTGAGCGCATGGCTGATGCCTTCTGAGTACGTCTAATGTAACTAACCCTGCATGAACAGTTGAATTCATAGATACACATTAAAGAGATTGTCACTGGTAGTTTGGTAGCTGGGAAATAAAATATCAGTTTAATCACAGGGACTGTTTTCTCAATCGATCTGTTAGGTCTACACCTTAGAATGTCTGCAGCAGTTTCACTGACGGTAACATAACTTGAATATGTGAAGTTTTTTCTGTAAATATGACACTAGTATGCTGTTGGAAATCATCTCATCGGAATGATGGAGATAAAAATGAATGACCTCATTTTTCACGGGAATAATTAATAATAATAATAATTTGCTTTATTCCAAAACAGGACTTGTAACACAGAATGGAATTCTCAGCATTTCACTACAGTATTACATCAAGTTAGTACATTCACATGAAATAAAATTCTACATAGATTAAGGGTAATCTCAGTTCGTTGTGACAACAACATATTAGCATGTCGGTAGCAAAGCTAAAATTGAACAGGTGTTTGAAGGTGTTAGAAAAGTAGATGCTAGCATATTCACTAGCGTAAACGGAAGAAAGAAACGAAGCAGCACATAACAGAAAAAAGAGAGAGAAAAAAAACGTTGTACCTATAAATGTGATATGAGTTGGAAAGACGAGATTCAATTGTGTTCTCCTGACTATTTAATAAGTTATAGGTATCACGCCTAATGCTTTCTTTGTCGCACAGAGCATGAGCTAAGTAGGGTATGGTTGAGTTTTTGTACTCGCTAGTGCGAGCATATAGTTTTCTATATAGGCTTCTGGTCTGGTCTTGCCTGATGAGATACAAGGGGAGAGTTGTGAATGAAGAGGGTGGTGTGAGTTAGATACATCAAATGGATTTAACCCATTTTTCACATGAGTCCATGTGCCTGTCAACCAGAATATTAACGTTGCTTACCCTACTGACAACCTTTAACATCCTGTGTAATAAGGTATAGTCTCTCTTCATTAGCCCTGGAAAAACTAAGGGGGAACAATAGAGAATAATAGGCAGAATACGGGAGTTAACGAATCGTAATAGTAAGAGTAAGGGTTGGGTTGGGTTATTCCAGAATGTCTTAACTTCTTTGTGTTGAAGGTAAGAAGGAATATTTTCCTAGAAATCATCAAGACATGAGACGACCAGGAAAGATCAGCAAATAGAATAACGCCTAGGTATCTAATTTCCGACTTGATTTCTATTTCAGTACCAGCTATGTTGCACACCTCGTGACTGGTAACCAGTTTGTTTAGGTCAGTCAGATTTATACCTAAAGCTGAAATTGACTGCTTGACATTTAGAGGGATTTATTTAAGGTAAGACTGTTTTCCTTGGACCACTGGCTGATTTCTTGAAAAAAAGCCATTTGGTTTAGAGCAGTCACTTTGACATTTGACAGGCAAAGATACAGTCAGGTCGTCAGCATATTTGACAAAATTAATGTCATTTGAAGATGGTAAGTCATGTAGAAAGAAAGAAAATAAAAGAGAACTGGGGAGAGTACAGCACCTTGGGGGACACCAACTTCAGTGAGCACAGCAGAGCAGGAGGATTTGCCTTTGTATACAGCGTACTGCATTTTGTTAGAAAAGTAGGAATGCAATCAGTTAGTGACCCAGGGGCGAACTTCATTTGCTCTTCACAGTGTCTGAGGTTGCTTAGCAATGGCTGGCATCATTTTCATTATACGCAGTACATGTACAAATTATTTTATAAAGTCAAATTAGTAAAATACTTTATCAAAACATATACTATTTCTATACTCCTTTTTTTTCTAGGATTCCTTCTACATAACAAAACAAAAAAAGAAAAGTAAACCATGGACTATCCAGATGCAGATGCCGGTTATGTGGATGAAGATGAAGAGGAGATCCCAATGGCTGAACGTGAGTTGGCTGAAGACGCTGAATGGAAGTTAATACAAAAGAATACATTCACTCGATGGGCTAATGAACATTTGAAGCCTAAAAATGTTACCGTAGAAGATTTACAATTCGATTTAGCTGATGGTCTTCGATTGATTGCTTTAGTTGAATCTCTGTCTGGACAACAATTTAAACATGTCAACAGGAAACCAAGTTTTCGTACACAAAAACTAGAAAATGTTACTATGGTTTTAAGATTTTTAGAAGAAAATGAAGGCTTGAGGCTGGTGAATATAGGTAAGTTTGTACTTTAGACTATTTTTTGTAAAAAAGATGATGTTTATGCATGTAGTGTTTTATGAGTAGTAAGACTGTATTTTCTTTACTTACTGTCATTTTTGTTTTTTTTTCACAGTTGATATCACGCTATGATTATAAAATTTCTTAAACTAATGTTGAAGACGTGTTACAGAATTTGATACCGACTTACTCCTTTTAAGATTTAAGCACAGTTTATGAGTTATAACAAAAAAACATTTCAATATAGCAAAAATATTCACTCAGACATCTACAAAACACAAAATAATTCAGCAAAGAATATCCTCTTCGATAAATTCCGCCTCCTCTGGCTCGACAATTATACATATATATGTTTATATGCATAGAATATTTTAGAATAGTAGTCAATAACAATATTAGTTTTCTTTTTCAATAATATCGATTTGTAAAGTAAGATCAGTGGAATTACAGTTCATTAAAGATGCTTAAATTATAATAATGATAATAAAGATATAATAGCAAATAGAATATCAACTAAAATTAGGGAAATTCCACAAAAATTCAGGATTATTCAAACCTCAATAGCCAAGGTAAGGCCAATGTCTGAACTAACTTTTTTGGATGCCCAAATTAGGCTCTTTAATGTGGATCCCAACGGCTAGTCTCAGCAATATTTAGTAGTCGAACACTTAAGGCAGAATTGAGATTCGTAGGTATGCAGTAAATGACTTTGAAAGCTGCCTGGTTGACATCAATCTTGTGTTCTGTTTGTATCCATAAGATGAGATAGAATAGCGCTACGAATAGATTTTCTTTGTCCTTTACTTAACCACTGTGCAGGATGATGGTCGGAAATCCGACGAGAAACACGCCTAATTGTACGACCTATGTAACCTGCTCCACAGGAACATCACCCTGCATAGTGGTTAAGTAAATGGCAAACAAAATCTATTCGTAGCGCTATTCTATCTCATCTTATGGATACAAACAGAACACAAGATTGATGTCAACGAGGCAGCTTTCAAAGTCATTTGCCGCATACCAACAAATCCTCACTTCGCCTTAGGTGTTCATTTACTAAATATTTCTGGGGCCGTTGGGATCCACATTAGGAAGCTTAATTTGTGCATCTTAAAGAAGCTAGTTCAGACATTGCGCTTATCTTGGCCATCTAGATTCGATCGATCCTCAATTTTTGTAAAAAATTTACCTAATTTTGGTTGACATTCTATTTGCTATTGTATCTTTATTATTATTATTATAATTTTAAGCATCTTTAATGAGCTGTAATTCCATTGTGATCTTACTTAACAAATCGATATTATTTAAAAGAACAGTAATATTGTTATTGACTGCTGATCTAGAATATTCTAAGCATATAAACATATATATGTATAACTGTGGAGCCAGAGGAGGAGAAAATTATCGAAAAGGATATTCTTTGCTCAATCATTTTGTGTTTTATAGATGTTTGAATGAATATCATCAATGACAGTGTATACAACACGTTGTCTTGCTTCTCTATCCACTTCAAAAGTTTAAATGAGCTGTTTAACTAAGGTTTTTAAAAGTGTTTAAGTGAGAACTAATCAAGTATATTACTATTAAATATGAGACAGTGGCGATAAAAAGTCATATGACTGGGAGTTCCCTTGCATCTTACTGACCATAATCTTGCGCAATTCAAATTTAACAGTAGAGCACTTGTAAAATTAGCTCTGTTGTTAGTGGAACTGTCTATTATCCACTTTATGAAATTAAGGCCACTCCAATTTCTTCATAGCATTTTATTTCTATGCCTCTCTTCAACTGTAGACAGCCTAAAATGTATTAACAGCATTAACAAAACTACAAAAATAAACAACGCAAACATTCTTCATTCTATTTAACAGAAGTTTCACTAGAGAATAGTAGTTTTGCGGCAACAACGATGTGATGGTGTAGTAGGGAAAAGAAAATTATTGATCATAAGTTTGAAAGAATATTTGAGAAATCTGATACGTGAGTTCAGATCACTGAGTCAGTAAACAGATCAGATTAATAATCATAATCATAATAATAGTGAAAACAGCCTTAAAAAAAACTATAAAACAGAATGTATATTTGTATAATATCTCGAAAAGGATTGTTACCGAATTAAACTAAGAAGACTAATCAATGTTTCTTTCTGTATGTGTAAGTTTGCTTTGAGTTACTGTGGGGAGCAAGGAGTCAGGAATACTCTGTACTGACCGATAACAAGACTCTAGAATAATCTGGATTTTGAGTGTGGATGATTTATGTCTGATATCACACAAACTCGAAGACATACAAGCGAAAAAGTAACAAACTGGCTGAAGAGGTAGGCGGCGATGATAGGACTCCAGGTGAACATAGGGAAGATAGACGGAGGTGATGAAGGTAACCAACAAACCATAACAGCAATAACAACAACAAGCAGAACGAATCACCATCAACGGGAAAGATTTAACAGAGGTTACCTCCTTCACTTATCCAGCCAAGAAGCATCGTTTCAACTACAAACATTCGAAACGTATTAACATGTCAAAACCAACCAGCTAGAATCCAAAAGGCAAGACACGCACACTTTAATCAACCAAAACCAGTTTGGAAATCTTCTGCACTCACTCAACCAGCATAAAGAACAAGATTCGGATTCTGTCGAACAGAAATGTGAAGTTAGTCAGTGAGTAATGAAAAGGATTTCCAACAGCCAGTTACAGACCTTTATCAACAACTGCCCCCCCCCTCGCTTGCTCCATATTGAAGAGAAAATGACCCAGAAAGAATTAGCAACAAGAAACTATGGCGATTAAGAAACCAACCAAGAGCCGATCGTTCAACAAATATGCAGGAGAAAATGGAGATCGATTGATCGCGCATACATTGAGGAAACCGTTGGATGACATCGTGCGCCAGGCTACTACCCCAGTGGATGAGGAAAGAAGAGATTATGGTCAGTTGTTGACTCAGCTGTCGAGGATGGTAGAAAACAGAAGGAAGTGGAGATGTGTTGTTGTTGAAGCCCTGTGATGTTCCACTTGGAACTCAAGGGAATATATAATACCTGATGGCAACAGATTCAGCAAATTTAAGTAAATTTGTATTTTCGTCTGTTTTTTGATAATGGTAAATGCAGTGAAAATGTCCACTCTCAGATATCAGACAGTGACACTGGTAAGGGACTAAATAACTTTGGTACTTAAGTTTTTAGGATATTACATTCAGAGAAGCGGAAGGATACCCACATGTACGTCTTTCCAAGTTAATGGCTCTGAGACGTACATGTAAGTTGTAAACATACCAACTTGATACGATTGGTTGTTCACTGTCTTCATGTCGAGGAGTGAAAGGATAAATGCAAACGTCTGGTGCTTACCAGTGAACTGGTAGACATGTCAGTCTATCTAGTGGAACTGAAAGACTGTGTTCCAAACGTATGGTGTGTACATGGACTCCTGAATTTGAAACAATCAAATGGCAGATGGACCTGTTTTGATCACCAGAAACCATGGAAACGCAGCTACTGGTGCTACTCTACTACGGCGTGAATCAGACATCAAACTAAAGTCTGGTGGCGGAGGGAGCCCTAAAAGACGAGTACCTTCTCTTGTCTAGACACGCAAGCAATACCCGAGCTCTCATTCAAACTTTAAGATTTTGTGTAGTGGGTCTGTTGGTTCCCATAGTGTATCAAGTTTATGCTTTAATAATAATAAAGAATACATAATAATCAATTTGTTCATAAAGTGTAGTTGTTTGTATAATTTAAGACACACTTTCTGTATGTATATGTATTTGTGTACTTTTTGTTTATTCCTCTATAGATAGTTCAGATATTGTTGATTGTCGGAGTAAATTAATCCTTGGTTTAATTTGGACTCTCATTCTGCATTATTCAATTACAATCCCACTTTGGGAAGGTGAACCCGACTATGGGGTTAGTCTTACAATATTAATGTCATTTGTTATTTTTTTTTATTCCTTCACGTTCACAGTGGAACATACGGACACTTCAAGCAAGAGACTTGAAGTTTCTACAACAGTGGTGTTTATTTTTCTACAGGGTAGGGTTGCCAGCCTCATGGCTAACCCAACTTTTCCTCTTTACTTGCTTTTATTTATTTATGGCTTAGGAGGGTGAAGGAGTGTGTCGGTGGCCGGGGGTCGAACCACGGACCATGTGCATAGTCGGTGAGCACCCTAACCGTTGTGCCACCGATGTAATGTTACTTTAAAAGTGCTTAATCTGACGCTATTGATGATCGTTATTATTACTATTCCTTTGGCGTCCTAGAGGAAAATAAGGCTTCATCAACCGATTGATATTTTACTCTATAGTTCTTTTTAGCTGTCTCGACTATAGTCCACAATCTTTCATTTCATTCGTGTTATTTTTAAATCGACGGCCAACTTGTTGTTTCTCACTTAAGTTCCAGCTGCAGGCCTGCTCAGCACATGATTTCACTCTACGGTCTCCTCAGAGTATGTCGAAAGCACCTCTATATACTTCAGCGTATTTATTAGTTAGTGCTTTGCACTGTAGAATTCTTTATGACTTATCGTTTCTGGTGAGTCACCTTATCTTCAGTATGAAGTAATAGCGGCCAGCTGTTGATGAAAAACTGCAGCCTGTTGGAAATGCTTTCCTTAACGCCTGTGTCAAGTCTTTAGATCCTAAAGAAGCGCTGAGTTGACACTGGTGTTGAAGATCTTAATCTTGTCTTTTTATGCTGATTCCAGCAGATGTCCAGACCGATTTCAGAGTGTGTAACAAGTGACTGTTCTAGTGAATTAGGATTCCACAATGAAGTTAGTCTTTTTTGTGATTGCATATTGGTCAGTGACTAGTGTGATGTGTCTAGTCCTATCTTCTCTGCAGACTGAATTCTGTCAGTCAAGATTGCAATGTGGCCAACATGCTAGGTGGCTCGCCATTACGGCGCACTGTTAATTGTTGGTATTAGATGGTTGGAGGCAGTCGGAAGGAAGCCTTGAATGGCCTAGGTTTCATGCTACTTGGCAATCACCAGTCAGTCATCAAGGCGTATCTGCAACGAACTTGTAGGAACTCATGTCTCACACCTCTGAGATTCGAACCCGGGTCACCCAGTGAGTACTGCAGTCAGAGACGTTACCACTGAGTCACCTATTAAGGCTCGCGACTGACCTTCTTTAGAACTGTATTGGATATTCTTGATTGCACACTATTCAGTAACTAGTCCCATCTTCACTACAGACTGAATTCTATCAGTCAAACTTGATCTCAAGTTCAGTTTTGGATGAAACTGACTTAGATAACCGCTGATAACAACAAACTCTGGGAAATATGTTTAAAATAACTTGGGTAATTGTAGTTTTACAGCCCAGATAGATGATGAAATGAGAGACTGAGGGAATTGTATCATTACACCGTCTTATGCATACACACTACTTTGATCCTTTTTTTTTACCAAACATCTCTTTACTGAAATAAATGAGTGCATCCTTATTAGATTTATGGTAAATTAAAAGTGTTTCCTTGTGTAAAATATCTCTCAAGAAAAATAAGTAGGTACTGACACCATGAGAAATAGACGGGATTCTGTTGACTGGTTGAACTGAGTTTCAAACACAGAACTTTGCACAGAGTTGCATCACTTCAAGTTACCACACACTGTATGTATTACAGAAAGGTAGAGAAGGCATGAGAAACAGAAGAACTATACTGCACATAAATTTACAGGGAAACAATCGTAGCATGGAAGAACCTTAGGACTTAATGGATCTGAGGGGCCACAAATAGTGGGTAGATCTTAGCCATTTAGAATGATTTTGAGTCATATCATTAATTGTTTCCATTTATAGGGTTTTAGTAACTCAACGACTTCAACCAGGTAGTCTAAACCTCTCTGTATGGCTGATTTCAACCAATAGTCAAAAGCTTCGTGAATCGATACTAGGTTATTGATTCCACTACATCTCTATCTTTTCCAACATAATCGTTTGCCAGCTATCATTTGTAGTCAACACGCACATGTGTCCTAACCATCTTAATCGATATAACTTCACAACCCCAATAATGACTATCCCTCATTACCTAACTCTCTGTGCCTAACCTCAGTTTCATACAACTAAACGTACACAGTTTGGGACTCTTCAGCAGTACGTATCCATCATAGGGTTTCGAAACCAGCACTTCTGTTTACAAGGCGACCTCGTAGACCACTTAGCCACTGGGACCCGATCCAATGGTCTTTGAATTCTAACTTCTGCCAGTTCACGACCTAGCGTGACCTTTAGCTAGCTTTTAAAAGACATGACATGTATTTTCTCCTATCAAAGCATGTAGGCAACACTATAGATACCAGTTTAAATACTAGAGGTACCAGAGAATTCTTAGATGCCGGATAATCAGCTGAATCGGCGATCAACGCAAACATTATTTCAAGTATCGGTTTTTGTAGGGATTTTGTTTTCATCGGTTAGAGGATTTCATCATAAGCTGACATCAGTTAGAGAACCATTGGAAAACCTGCAGGGAGTACTGAAGAGCTGTTTCCTCCGTCCTGATTTAAGACTCTTCAGCAGTAGACACCCACCGAGGTTTGAAATCCTCCAACCAATCAAAACAAAATCCCTACAAAAGTTAATACTTGAAAAAATCGACCTGATGCTTGCTAGCGACCGGCCATACTCAGGTAGACAATTCCCTCGGGTTCTAGTGGGTGTGAGGACAAATACTCGCCGAAGACATTGGCTAGCGGTCTCACTATGTCATGAATTGGCAGAAGTTGGAATTCATGGACTGGCCACAATGGCTTAATGGTCTATGAGCTAGCTCACTGGGCTTGTAACCAGAAGTTCCTGGGCTCGAACCCTAGCGGTGGGTGCGTACTGCAGAAGAGTCCGAAACTAGTACTGAGGTTCACTAACAGATGTCATTTCATGATGAAATCATCCAACCAAAGAAACTTTATTATAGATCATATTTATCAAAAAATGAGACATAAGCAACACGACAAAAAGTCGAACTCCAAGTCAATACGAACGATCAATAGTGATGTGAATTAACGGCGGATCACGACAAAAATTGTCAGGAGTTCGGGAATTATATCATCTATGGGGAAACCAAATACGCTCACTAATTTATGTAGAAGATCTTGTTGAAGATGTTGTCTAGAACGAGACAATGGCAGCTTCGTAAATAAACCAACCAGTTCAGAAAACGCAGATACAACAAATAAATTTTGGAATTGTACTCTATCACACTGTTGTCATTTAATCCACTTTGATAACGCTACTAAAATACATCATACAGGAAATCAATTCCTGTTTATTACTGTAATTAAATAAGGTTATTATTATTATTGCTATATTAATCAGCTCTTCACTGACATTATGATTCACTGTTGTTTCTATTAATTAGCTGAACATGATTACTTCCTTTTAAAATTTGTTCAATGGATCCAATCATTTGTTCTAATAAATATTTTATTTTCAAGCCTACTTTGATTAATTGCTTTATTTGCATTTAACCTGCCGATCAACAAACCTTCATTCCCTCCGCCTTCCTCTGAGGCAACACATAAACACACACACCCACACACACACACACACATACAATACAAGCTGTTAGAGATAAGCCTTCTAGAAAACACATAAACAAAGGACTCATTACTTACTCAATTTTATACACCACCATTTTCTAATCAGCCAGTCAACTACTTTACTCCAATTGTCTATGCTTATGACGTTTAAATTTCATTTATTGTTTAATGTGTATGTGTGACCTTGAGGAAAGACTAAGTAGTCTGTCTTTCCTATAGACACATTCATAGTCAGGCATTTTATTGATTGATTTTAATTGAACACGTGATAACAATCGGGAGAGTTAACTCTAAATTATGATTATTATTATTATTGTTATGTTCAGGCGTCTCCCGTATTGATTTCTACTGTCTTGAAAGACAAAAACAAATGAAATAATAATAACTATTTAAAAACGCTTGTTATGTTTACAATTAATAATAATAATAATAATAATAACAAACTGAAGGGCATAAGCAGTCAATGCGTTCACTATGCAGTGAATAATGGGATGGGTTACTATGGCAACACTAATGTTCTCGTTTTAATACTGGGGTGGTAGTGCTGGTCGGGGCAGAATTAATACATCAACGATAGACAACAGCTACTGAGTAACTTGATGTTTATAATAGTTACTTCGTTGTCATATTCAGTACCAACGTCTAGACGTGTGACACTGGTTACAGCCTAGTAAACAATCCGTGTCAATCATAAATTCGAAAAGCACACTGATCACATCACTGGCTGAAGCACTGAGTGACTATGGAAACATGAGTACCTTCAAGGTTTATAGAGACGCCATCCTGACGAGTACTAACAAGCATGAAACCTAAATCAAGCACGACGTCTTGATAATTGCCTCCAAACATCTAACAACAATTCACAGTGCACAGAGATGGTGAGCCACCTAGCCGGGTAACCAAATTGTTAATCTAACTGATAGAAAACAATCTGTACTAATAACGCACAACAATGCATATACAACATCATTCCATGGAAATTCATCGGGCAAACTTTAAAAAACAGACGAATCTGATGCTAACACGATGATTTGAGATGTGATGATCTGAACTTATAATCGTGAGCTAAAAGTGTGCAAACTATTGAAATTTGAAGATTGTCTGACTGGTTTCAATATAGAGGTTGCACAGAAGTGCAACAGTTCATATTGCCACATTCTATGTAGCACACAAAAGAAGACAGATTGCAAAACATGAAGAGTTAATGGGTATGGTGGATTGCACAGAGTTGAGGTATCTGCGCCACCACTGAAAAACGATTTCAAGCCATATCACCACCAATCGTCTCCAGCCATTTATTCTTAGAATCCTGAGGACCTTAACCAGGAAGTCTACACCTCCCTATGTGTCTCAAGCTGGCTATTAAAGATTTCATAGAGTGAAGCCACTAACGCCTTCCCAACCTGACCCTTGTCAGATAACATTACATGTCGAGGAGGATCATATAGTAGCTTAGTTGATGTACCTTCATAACCTTATCGACTGATAGTCTCTCCTTACCTAACACTCGATTCCTAACCTCAATACCACTCACTGTATTATACCACCAAACATAGAGGAAAACCGCAGAAGGGACATGAATTCCTTCAAGGTTGCAGATACGCCTCGCTGACTGGTGAGTGTCAACTAGCACGGAACCTACGTCAAGCAAGCCTTCCTTCCGATTGCCTCCAACCATCTAATATCATCAAATCAATGTGCACCGTAATGGCGAGCTCTCTAGAATGGTGGCCACATTACAACCTGACTGATAGAATTTAGTCTGCACCAATGAGAGGACTAGACACATCACACTAGTTATCATCAAATCTTTGTGTGTAATGACCTATAGATATTTTCTAAAAATTGATTGGCCACTAACTGGGGGTAACCAGTGTCACAGCTCCATTTCATAGTGTTGATTTAGACTGAAGTCTACCAATCGAGTCTTCAATCATCATAATATCTTAATCTTCACATGAATAAGGTTAACAATAATAAACCCTTGACAGATTCCTAGAAGACCTCCCCCTGACCTGAAATGTGTAATTCAAAAAGACTTACACATTAATATTGAGGTGTGTATTTCCAGACGAGCCTGTGACAGATTATATTATTACAAATGTAATAATAATAATGCAAAATATATTACAGAAAGTGATCATGCTGCAACATGGGCCGATTAACAGGTGTCCATCTACGTGATGAAATCTGATTGGTTGTCTCACTGACCAACATATACACAATCAATCAATATTTTCAAAGTTTAAATTCTAACTGACAAAATATCGAACTAGTCTATTTGTATTACCTAATACTAAGCTAGGTGACTCACCATTGTGGGGCACTTTAAACTGATGTAGGCTGGTTAAAGGCAGTCAGCAGGAAGTCCTGCCGATTAGCAGTCATTAGGAATCTATTTCCTTTTTCTATGCCGTCTTTTGGGAAAATAACTTCAAATTTAATCATGGCTTTTCACCTGACATTTGAAAGAAATAATTGTCAAGTGTCAGTCAATACGCTTCGATTCATCCTTTATGTACACACACATATATGTTCAAATGAAGACATTTGTGACAAATTACAAATATCAGATGTTGCGATTACTTCACAACAAAAACACAGAACAAAAAGTGTGGGACAACATACATGGTAACTGTCATTTCTCATTGTAAACAAGAAGAAAAAGTCAATAAAAGTTATTTGACATTCATGCATATGTTTGTTTATATATTGCTGTGAATTTGTATTTTTGCTTCCACTATTCAGAAATCTAAACGATGGATACGACATCATCAACGAGTTGTGAAGCCTGTACCACCGTTAGAACCAAAACTTTTCAATAATTACTCTGAAAATAATTTCCTGGTTAGTACTCATAGATACAAAAAAAGGAAGAGAGAATAGGCAACACTTTGAACACTTATGTGTGTGTGTGATTTTCACATTTTCTTTCCTTCCACTATTCAACTGCACTAAAAATATTTTTTATTGGATTTGGTTTAATTTCATTGGATTGAATGTGTGTGTGAGAGAGGTCGTTTTGCTTCCATGACAAAAAAGGGCATCTATAAACTGTGTTTTTGAAACCCTGTTCCTTATTTCTTTATACACCAGGCTCAAGGACCTACACCAAAACAACGTTTAATGGCTTGGTTGAATAATAAGCTAGCTGAAAGACCAGTGAAAAATTTCACAACTGATTGGAATGATGGTATTGCTATCGGTGCATTGGTTGATGCATGTGCACCTGGTTTATGTCCTGATTGGCGTGAATGGGAACCGAAACAAAATTTACGAAATGCACGTGAAGCAATGGGTGCAGCAGAACAATGGTTAGATGTACCACAACTTATACGTCCAGAAGAGATGATTAATCCAAGAGTGGATGAAAAAGCTATGATGACGTATTTGAGTCAGTTTCCTAGTGCAAAGCTAAAAGATGGTGCACCACTTAGACCAAAATCAAATCCTGGTCTTGTTCGTGCTTATGGTCCTGGTGAGTTAAAATTATATATATTTGTTTGTGCTGACAATTAATTTGGTGTATACGTATACCTCACATAACTCACTCTCATCTATATGTGTTCACTGTATGCATAGCTCAGGGCTAAATTAATTTGATTACACTAGTGAGTGAGTGATGCCATTTCATATATTTTGTCACGAAATCATTTCACTTGAGATTTTTCTATTTCTATTTCAATTCACGTACATCACAACATTCTAACAAGTTACTTATTATGATTACAAAAACACTCGTCTTATTTCTCATCTGATTGTAACTGATCAATAACACTCGTATTATTATTATTTCTGAATGTACATTATTTGCAATTAATAGTGTTCTCTGAGCTGGTTGGTTTAGTTGCGGAGCTTTCATCGTCCCCCTGCTGGACAACATCCCCTTTCAGTGCATAAACTGAAGTGATTTAAATTTTCCATCACTGATAGAAGTGTATCTCATAGTAACCATTTTTACATATGCATTGATCGTTTTTTATTGACTTGGATTTTAAACTTTCCCGTCACCTGATCTACTTTTTATTAGTTGGTGGTATATTTGGTCTATATTAATTTACGTGTTTGTTAATTGCATTTTCGTCTGAGTATCAAACAGGCTTCTAGGAATTCCCTGACTGCACTTTTGACGTTTCCTGTCTGTCTAAAATTTTGACATTATCCCAATCTAACTGATGTCCATAATTGTCTATATGCATTGATATGAAAGAATATATATCGTGTCTTTTCACGACTGATTTGTCTTCCTGGATTCTGATTCGAAGGAGACGTCCACTTTGGCCGATGTAATGCCTGTTATAGTTCATTGAATTGATTTTGTAAATGGTATTAATATAATCTCCTTACATCGGCCAGAGTGGACGTCCCCTTCGAATCAGAATCCAGGGACACAAATCAGCCGTGACTGGCTGAGTGAATGCAGAAGAATTCCAAACTGGTTTCAGGTTGATGAAGGTGTGCGTATCTTGCCTTGGCGAAGTTAAACTTTCGACACCACTAACTACCGAACAGCGAATTATCCAATGAGATTCACGAACGCAGTTCAATGTTGTATAGCGCTTGATTCATTTCTAATGCGTGACCTTACAAAGCTATTGTTGTAATTCGAAGAGGTTAGCGTTTTCCAGTATTTCCTGGATTTGAGTTGCGCCGGAAAGAGCGAATTTGTTTGTGTGGTGGTATCCTGACTTTAAAAAGCTATACCAAATCAACTGATGGGTTTGTTCATCGTTGTGCTATATGTTTGAAGCCTACTAACGCTAGAGAGGGTAAGCTGATAATTTTAATATTTCGTAGGAACTTTTTTGCCAGGTCGCTTCTCTCCCTAAGGATAGCAGATAGAAAAGCAACTACTCTTATACCTATTATTACCAGACTTGTTAAGCGGGGGTCAATTATACACACCGACAAGTGGAAAGGCAACAATTCACTGTCATCTCTGGGATATATTCATCATAGAGTCAACCATTCAAGTGATTTTGTGGATCCCGTTACGAGGACATACAAATTCTATTGAAGGATTTTGGGGCAGGTTAAAAAATAGGATAAGGGCTATAAATGAATCTCATTTATAGTCATTTGGATGAATATATATGTACAGGATATGGTGTAACTTCTCCATTGACAGTCCCATGCTAAACTGGCAGATGTTTCTCTCACATGTTCGAGAAAGATATCCCATGTAACTTTTTTATTCTCTATTTTATGTTTTTTTCTACAAATATACATTTCCATTCGTCATATATGCCTCTTTAATGTGACTGGTCCGTTCAAGGTCGTTTTCTGATTGGTTGTTAGTGGTGTCGAAAGTTTAACTTTGCCCTTGCCTTTCTGATTCTGGCTACCTGGATTTGACATCTTCATCCGTTTCGCCAGTATTTTAAAGTGAAACTGATTTATACTTAAATAATCTGGAAGATTCATTGAGATACTAGGCCATAAAATCTGTTTAAATAATTTCTGAGTACAATTCACAAAAGCATGTTTTACTAAACCACATTATTAACATACATTTACTCATTCAAGTATTGGTTTGTAGAGATTCGGTTGATTGGTTAAAGGATTTCATCATGAGCTGACATTGGTTAGAGAACCATTGGAAAACCACCAGGGAGTACTGCCAGACAGCTGTTTCCTTTGTCCTAGTTGCGACTCTTTAGCAGTACTCACCCACCGGGGTTCGAACCCAGGACCCTCTGGTTACAAGGCGAGCTTGTAGACAGACTGACACTTTGTCTAAACGGTATGAAGTAAGGCTTACTTGATCACCAACATACATCATTTGTTTCCGAGTATCAGCAAGCAGAAAAATGATACTTAGTCATGTGACGAAATTTCATTGGATTACACGATATACAACTTTGACTGCCTACTGTCTGATTGGTTGAAAAATTAAGGATAAATTTTTTTTTGAAAAAACGGATGTCTTATAACCGAAAATATAAATAACTACCACCGGTATTTCTCCCTCAAATAATACAACGTCTACATTCCTTAGTACTCATGCTAATGACCACAATAACAAGAGAGGTCAATAATAAAACCACCTGTAACCATCAAACAAGTCCAAATTTACAATTTTCCTAAGATTCAGATCCCTAAAGAAAAAGAAAACAACAGAAATAACCAATAAGAATTTGAGTACATTTAATATTTTAACCAATAGAAAAACACTATCCCAGTAAACAATCATGATTGGCCAGTGTATCAGGCATTAAATAGAGAGGCATTCGATATATTCTTAAAACTCATTCATATATATATATATCCCAAAAAATTGAAACCTTGGACATACATTATTGCATATTACATAAACATTTAAACAAAACGATTCAATAGATTCAATGGAATTATAATCACCAAAATACACAGTAGATAAATAAAAATTGTTGGAAAAGTATAGAATAGAATGATCCTGATCTAATGGCGATAGGATTTCAATATTTAATTGAAGTTGATGTAGATCATGCTTTACTCGCTGCTGCAATATTACCTTCAGTTGAATCAATTTCCACACCATTATTGAATATTGAACAAAACAAGAACAGTAATAATAACAATAACAATAATAATAATAATAACAGTAATTTTGAAGATACAAAACAACATTGGGCAGAGCTTAACTCTATTGATACTACAAATCGTCAAGGATTAGGCGTGATATATGCCTTGAGTAGACAAGCCTTTTCATGTTATTTATTCTTTTTTGGTTCAAAAATGAAGAAACAGGTGACACCGACACCAAGACAAAGTTTAAAACCACCAGCATCGTCACGTAGCGGGAAATTAAATTCAGCAGTTAAAGGTAGATGTTTGTGTGTTTTCCCCTGGCCCCGGCCCCCTCCCCCATTTTATTGACCTCTATTTTCATGTTAGTTTTTAATGTATTTTGGGAATAACAATGTGGATTACATCAAGATGATCACATCATCTTGCATTAAATATTGCCAGTTGAGACTAAAAGTAAACGGTGTGTTGCTAGTTCCATATTAGTTTGTTTATTAGATGTATCACACAGTCACTGAAACAGTATTATTTACTGGATTACACAGTTTCGAACAAAATTTATTGCTGTTCATAATCATTTCATCAGTTATAAACACACGACTTTGAAACTTGAGTTTTATAGTTTTCTTTGTTCTCTCCTATTTGTCGTCGTCTGGGTAGTCGAATTTTCCAGATATCCGACAGGACAGGTGTTAAATCATTTCTATTACATGTATTCGATAAACAAAGCTTCTGTTATCTGTGAGTGCCATAGGTGAACTATTTCCTAGGTTTCTTATCTTATTCTGGTCAACTAATCTAGATTTTGCTAGGTTTTTATGTTCGGCTAGTCTCACTGCCCCCGTTCTACAGCTGTGACTTATGTATTTGACCTGAAAAGTCGTTGTAGGCAGGGTATTGGATAAACTAAGTTGTTTTGTTTTGAAGGCTTCACAGGATTCATCCTTTAACCGACACAGCTTGTTTCTAATTGAGTTTGTGGGTGATTGAATCCCAGTCACTTTTATTCCTGCCTTGTTAAGAATTCGCCGTAAGGTGATTTTCCGAGGTTCCTTCCCTGTATGGAATTAATACTGATGAATTAGGTTCCTTATTGTTGGTGTTATCATTATCTTTCGCATGTTAGACATGCATGTCAAAATAAAATCTTATCCATAATTAAGAGTAGTATCCTTGTCAAATACTCACGTGGTCCAGGCTCAGATCTCGGTTAATGCACTCCTACACCTTGCTTAGTGAACAGTAAATTCCGTAAAGAAGGGATTGTAGTGGGGAGGAGTGAGGCTAGCAACTACAACCCTGTAGAGGAAACAGTGGCATTGCTATTAAAACTTTAGACCTGAAACTTGAAGCCTTTTGTCATGCTCGAAATGCAGAAAAATTAAAAGACGTTTATCCGATGCTCATCCGTATAATGAATTTCATGAGGTATTATTATTATTATTATATCATTTAATTCCTAGAGAAACATAGGGCTTCAGCCAAACGTCTCCATTGTCTTCGGTTTTCTGCTAACTTTTTCACCCCGCTCCAAGTCTGCCCACATGCTTTCATCTCCTCTTCACATGACCTCCTCCAAGTCACCCTTACATTGACGACCAACTCGCCGCTTCCCTTTCGGGTTCCACTCGAGCAATGGCTTGTCTGGTAATGTCACTTGGTGGTTTTCTCAGCGTATGGCTATTCCATCTCCATTTCTTTCTGCTTATTTGTTGCACAATCGGTTCCTGGTTGGTTCGCTCATGGCCAGAGATACCTGTTGCTGATCTTTTCTGGCCAGCCATCTGATCTTTAGTATTGAGCGAAGACAGCTGTTAATGAAGGTCTGTAGTTTGTTTGAGATTATCTTTATGACGCGTCAAGGTGAGTAGCCCTGACTCTTCACAGTGGGGTTGAAAATCCGGATCTTATTTTTGCTGCTGAGTGCTGTTGACCTCCACACAGACTTAAGAGTAATGAAAGCTTAGTTAC